ATGGAGTGCTCACGGGTATCACCGGACAAGTGAATGGAATTACAAATGATTTTATTGTAATTAGTGCAATTATCATTGGGGAAGGGTGATTAGAGAAAAAGCTAGATTAAGTGTGATTTGGAGTGGGTGTAACGAGTGAGAGTGAGAGTGAAATTGATTCTCACTTTCTTTTATAATAATAATAACACTCGTTACTGTTATTCCTAATTCATGTACGATTGCAACTCTTCGTACGTAATCGTTAATCCAACCGTTCATTTAGTATGGTCGAACCTGAACCCAAATATCGGGGCTGTTACATTGTCTTCTTTTCAGAAACAAGAGCTCGCCGGAGATTAGTTTCCCGTCGTTTGCGGGGTTTAGGGTTTAATTCTTCGCATACTTTTTTGTGGATGCTATTGATGCTTCAGGTGGTCTTGTTATTGCTTGGTCCCCCGAAGTTGATGCTTCGGTGTTTTTTCATTCGGATTTTTGTCTTGTAGTCCAAATCAATGAAGTGGATTTTTCTTACGTTGTTTTTTGTGTTTACAATAGTTGTAACCCCTCTATCAGAGCCATGCAATTGGCTCATCTTCGTGAAGTCTGTGACACTATCCATCTCCCTTTCGTGGTTATCGAGGACTTCAATACCACCTTGCACGAACATGAAAAAGATGGAGGTAATGCTTGGAATAGTATGCAATCGATCAGTCTTCGTGACTTTATCATCGACCTTGGGCTCCATGATCCCGGCTATCAGGGGGATACTTTCACCTGGACAAATAAGCGCCTTGGAAATGCCTGCATTCGCGAACGTCTTGATAGGGCCCTCTGCTCCCACCGGTGGGTGGAGCAATTCCCTGATACTCTTGTCAAACATTGTACAGACCTCGGATCGGACCATAGGGCTCTGCTCCTCACGGACAGGCCATATGTTCAACAAAGTCGACCTCTGTTCAGGTTTGATGCTAGCTGGGCAGACAACCCTGAAGTTAGGGCGATGGTTAGGTATGTGTGGCAGGAGCCTATTTCACGGACCCCGATGTACCAGCTATGGGAGAAACTTAAAAACTTGAGACATCTTCTCTATGACTGGAGTAGGGCTGGGACTACCAATTCGCTTCGCAATATTAAGACCCTACAAGCGGAGATTGAACACATAAAGTCCAATCATCCCATAAATTGGGAGGAGGTGAAGGTTCTGGAGATGGAACTTAATCGCCAATGGGAGGCTGAGGAGTTGTACTGGCAACAAAAATCCCGGGTGCATTGGCTCAAGAAAGGTGATAAGAACACCTCGTATTTCCATACAGATACGGTCACTAGAACTCGGAGGAAAAGAAACTTTGTCGCTGGCCTGCATAATGAAAATGGTGACTGGGTTACTGAAGAGAAGGGGAAAGCTGACATCGCTTGTCACTTTTATCGACAGTTTTTTACCTCGGAAAATCAAGTGATGAATATGTCTGATCGGGTGGCGAGTCTTCTTACCGCTCGGAACGTAACCCAGGAGATGAGTGATATGCTTACGACAGAGGTTATGCCCCAAGAGGTTCGAAAGACGGTTTTTGCCATGGGTTCCAAACAGGTTCCTGGATCTGATGGCTTTAAGGGGAAATTTTTCAAGGCCTTTTGGGATATTGTTGGCGATTTAGTGATTGAAGTTGTCTGCTCATTCTTTTCCACTAGTAGGATGCTTAGAAGCTTCAATCATACGTGGCTGACATTGATACCCATGGTGGAGAATGTTGAAAATATGAGGCAATTGCGGCCTATGAGCTTTTGCCAATTTGTGTACAAAATTATTACTAAAATTATGGCGGCTAGGCTAGCTGATATCCTTCCAAGAATTGTATCTGAAGGGCAGAATGTGTTCATTCGTGAAAGGCATTTTGTTGAGAACATCCTGATAGGGCACGAGTTGATGCACTATTTGAAGATCAAGACACGCGGCAAGAAAGGGTACATGGCTCTAAAGGTTGACATGGAAAAGACCTATGATAGAGTTGAATGGCCGTTCTTGCTTGCAGTCTTGGAAAAAATGGGATTTAATTCCGTGTGGATAGGTTGGATCCATGAATGCCTTCGCTCAGCTTCTTTCTCGGTCCTCATGAAGGGTACCCCTTCGGGATACTTCTCGCCTTCCCGAGGGCTTAGACAAGGGGACCCTCTATCTCCTCTTTTGTTTGTGCTCTGCACGGAAGGCTTTGCTGCTATCCTTCGCAAGGCAATAGCTGATAAGCAATTGGGAGGTGTGAAAGTTGCTCCTCGAGCTCCTCGTATCTCGCACCTGTTCTTTGCTGATGATTCTTACTTGTTTATGCGAAGTAATCTCCAGGAATGTGAGAATCTGATCGAAGTCTTGAATGAGTATGAGGAGTTAATTGGCCAAAGTGTGAACTTGGACAAGTCAGCGATTTGATTTAGTAAAAACATAGCCCCAGCGGACCGGGAGTTTTTGGCCGCGATTCTGGGGGTGGGCGCTGTGGGGGTTCATGATAAGTACCTGGGGGTTGCCGACTCTGATTGCCGCTCAAAAATGGCTACCTTCCGCTATCTGGAAGAAAAATTACTGGAGAAATTACAAGGGTGGAAGCAACGTACTTTATCTTGGGCGCCGAAGGAGACATTGATTAAATCCATTGCTTTAGCTAGGGATGGCAATCGGGTGGATCGGGGTCGGATGTATATGGATCCGTCACCCGCCCACCGGAACTTCGGGTTCGGGGAATCCCTGGCCGAACGCTGTTATCGGATGTAAAATAGCAACCAAGCCCGCCCGTTTTCGGATGTCGGGTTTGTCGGGGACCCGAAACTTATCCGACTAGTTCATTAATTAAAAAACAACAACCAAATTCTTACGTGAAGCTGAAGCATGAACTTCATAACGTTAAATCCAGAAACCAGAATGCACTGGAGAAGTAGCAAAAGAACAAAACATTCAACAGAAAACGTCCAATCCTAAAATACCATCAAATCCAAAATGACCAAGACCATTGTATCAGCAAAACAAAAGATTAAATGACTAGCAAAACATCTCTACTACTCGAGAACAGCTTCGATAGCAGCAGCAGCACAACAACATGATAAAGACTTCACTTCAGGCCTCCATACTCCACTTTCCAGAAGCAGCAAGAATGCAGCATTCTGCATTCCTTGGTTCCACCCAGCAGCCAAGGCAACAAAACTCAAACAAAACCTGAAAAACGAAGAAAAACAACCGTTATTAAGGATCCAAATTCACAAATCATGGAATCAACTAAATTACTAAGAGAACTCAAAAGTTCTTACTTACATCTTGCTGCTAACTATCAGTTCACAAATCTTGATTAATCTTCAAGAAGCTTGAAACGAGGGGCTTGCTCTACACATTTAAACAAACTATCTCAATCTCATTGACATATATCAAAGGCTGGAAGAAATCACACAACTGAAACAAGGTTTTTTGCTTATTACCTTCAGTAGTTTCAGCATCAGGTTGGAGCTGGACCAGATTGGCTTCACTTGTAGGGGAGAAACATCCTTCCAACACTCCTGCTCCAGCAGCAGCATCATCTACGAATGCAAGCCAAGTCAAAATAGTTACATAACATGCTAAAACAACAATGAAATTGAACTAAAAGATTAACTTAACAGGGTTAAGAGTTTACCTCCAGCCAACTCAGCTTGCAACCAACTTCTTGTGCACACAAGTGTTTCCACAGTAGCATGGTGCAACCTACTCCTATGAGGGTCTAAAACACGACCTCCAGAGCTGAATGCACACTCAGATGCAACAGAGGTAATAGGAACAGCTAAAACATCCCTTGCTATGGCTTGCAAAGTGGGATATTTTGGACCATTATGCTTCCACCACATTAAAATATCAAACTCAGCAGAACGAGGGAGAATTTCCTCATTGAGGTAACTGTCCAACTCAGTATGGATAGAAGTAACCCTTGCCCTTTTTCTTTGGCACACAAATCGATCAAAGTCCAAATCAGTGGTGCTAGGAGCAGAGGACTCAACTCCAACATACCCAGAAACATTCAGATTCCTCTCCTCATTCATTTTACTTTGGTACTCCAATACTAGATCAGATAATATGTCCTTAACAGATTCCAAACAATAGCCATCAAATTCAACACCAAATTTTTCAGCATAGTAGTCAACAATTTCCAACTTATACCGTGGATCTAGAATCACAGCAATAGCAAGGACTTTGTGAATCTCGTCCCAGTACTTGCTGAATTTTTCCAGCATAGAATAACCCATCTTTTGAATCACTTCATTGGTATCAACACACCACTCATGAATCTTGAGTTTCAACTCACAAATACGAGGGAAGAACAGATTAGTCGTTGGATACTTCGATCCAGAGAACAAATCAGAGATAGAGCTAAAAACTTTAAGTTTCTCACAAACAAGTGCAGCAAATTGCAACTGCTCATTCGATGACAAGAAATTATATTGAGCATCACGTTGCTTCAGTCTAGTGAAAACCTCCTTGTAAGGAATATCAACACATAGCATTTTAAAGGTGGAGTTCCACCGAGTAGGGCAATCCATAACAAGTCGTTTCTTAGAAGTGAATTTTAACTGCTTTGCAGTTTCAAGGAAGAACTCTAGCCTTTTAGGGGTAGCAGACCAGTAAACAACACTGCTCCTAATGTTATCAATTCCCTCTTTAACAACATCCAGACCATCTTTCACAATCAAATTCAAGATGTGAGCAGCACACCTCATATGTATCAAAGCACCATCACTTATCAAGTCAGGTAAAACTAATTTTGATTGTATGACACGAATCATAGAGTCATTAGTGCTACAATTTTCTAGGGTAATGGTGGATACCTTACTGCCGACATTCCAGTCGAGCAAACAGTTAACCAACACTGTCCCCAACCTTTCAGCAGTATGAGGTGCTGGTACATATGCAAATATGCACAAGAACGAGCAGACAAAGAAACAATTGCAATTAGGAATGAAACAAAAACTAAGAAACAGAAAACGATGATTCAAATAGATGCAGACTACATGTCTTACCTAAGCACCCACGAGTTGTCAATATAATGAGCTGTAACAGTCATGTACCCCTTCTTTTGATTGGTGGCAGTCCACAAATCAGTAGTTATTGCAATTCTACCTCTGTTGATATCAAACAGACTTTGAATCTTAGCTCTTTCAATATCATAGAATTTAAAGACGAGGTCTTTATTTATAGTATTCCTCGATGGAACAGTGAACAATGGTTGAAGAGAGCAGACAAATCTCTTGAAATAGAGATGATCAACCATCGACAAAGGATATTCATGCATTATAATAGCAATTGCAAGCTCCCTTTTTGAAAAATCAGAGTTGAAAGCAGTAGCAACCAAGTCTTGATTTCCTTTAGCCAAATAGTGAGGGCCGAGAATCTTTTGACTACCATCCCTAATTTTCTTTTGAACACAAATTTTGGTGTGATTCTTTAGGTGGGTAGTACCATTATTTGATTCCCCACCTAATTGCTTCTTACAATAATTGCATTTAGCCTTGACAATTCCATTAATTCGAACTTTGGTATAGTGAAACCAAACAGCACTCTTAAGCTTACCAACGTCGAGTAATTCCTCGACAACATTACCATTCCCAGCATTGCCATTCTGCTCATTTGTAGTTGCTGCCTGCGGAGTTGGGTTTGTGACAGTCCCATTTCCAGTAGGTGCAGACAGAACTGGATTTGCACTATTGCCATTATCTTGTGGAGTGGGTTGAACTCCTTCTGTTGATATTGTTCCTGCCGAAAAAACAGAGTAACAAGGATTAGTAGGATATCAAGCGACTCCCTTAATCATTAACCAACATCAATGATCAAAATTGAAACAAAGAAACTGGATATTTACCTTGAACAAACAGAGTGAGGCACAAACAATGGGTGGGAATGGATGTGAAGATGATTCTCGCACGCACAAGGCCACAGACCAAACAAGCAGTAAAAGGATGAGAAGTCAGTCTAAGAACTGAGAAACAGAGTACTGAGATTGAGACTTGAGAGAAGTATGAACAAAAAAAATAAACCCCACCTCGTATTTATACTCCAACTTCAATCTCCATCTGAATCGACTATTCGACTTCACCGGGAGAAATTCTCTTTGCATGCGGCAAGCCATGATCGAAAGGGAAATGATTATCATCATTGGGAAGGAAAGCGGATAATCGATGGGAGATATGCGACCGATATGTTAGGGATTCGATGCAGCGGGAGCAATCGGATTGCTAGAACCTAGCCTAGGGTTGGAGGCGGAGAAGAAAATGGGAGAAGAAGAGTTTAGTTGAGGGGAGTAATCTAACCTAGGGTTTCTGATTAGAGGGTATATATAAGTACGGGGCGGAGTCGGCGCGGATAGTTTCGAGTACGAAGCGCACCCGAAGCCCGTTTCTCTTATTCTCGGGTTAATCCGAGTCCGGCCCGGAGCCCATCATCAACGTATTTTGCCTGATTTTGTCGGGTCGGGTTCGGATCGGATTTTCGGGTTTCGATTCAATTTTCCAAGCCTAGCTTTAGCTTTTCCATTGCATGTTATGTCTTGCTTTAACATGCCGTTGTCCCTTTGTAGGCTTCTTGATAAGCACGTAGCTCGGTTCTGGTGGGGTGTGACTAATGATCAGTCAAGAATACACTGGTATCCTGGCAAAATTTGTGCAGAAGTAAACATGATGGGGGAATGGGTTTTCGTCGTTTTGAACATTTTAACCAGACATTACTGGCTAAAATCGGTTGGCGAATCCTCCAGGAGCCCTAGTCCCTACTGGCTCAAGTCTACAAAGGTAAATATTTCCCGTTTCTGCAAGCCTAAGCACGATCGCGCCCTTCCTACGGATGGCAGAGTGTTCTTTTTGGAAGGCAGTTGCTAGAAAAGGGCTTACGATGGCAAATTGGCAATGGGGAGTCGGCATCGCTGCTTTTCTCGAATTGGATTCATCAAATGCATCCTGAACTGCCGGTGTTTAACCCTCAGGTGCTCCCGTAGGGTGGTGATCCACTAGTGGCGGAGGTTATCAATCAGAATGGGGAAGGGGGTTGGTGTGCCACTAAACTGAGCCAATGGTTTGATCCACTTATCTGCTGTATGATTCAATCTATTCCTCTTCCGAGGCAAAATATGCCATATAGTATTATTTGGCATGGCACACCTGACGGTGTGTTCATGGTCAAATCTGCCTATCACTTAGCCGTTGACCTGGATAAAAGGAATGGCAGTTGGAGGTCTACGGCTAGCTGGATGGATAGAACCAGTTGGATTTGGCTTTGGGAGGCGGATATTTCCCCTAAGTTGAAGGTGTTTGTTTGGCAGATTTTTCATCGTATCCTCCCTACAACAGAAGGCCTCATTGAGAAAGGTGTCCATGTCCTTCCTCGTTGCCCGGTCTGCTGGGGGGAATCAGAAACTATGGAGCATTTGTTTCTGGATTGTCCAGTGGCTCGGGCCCTGTGGGACTACTTGGGATTGGAACATCTCGGCCAAGGATTGCCTCGCCATACTTTTCCCCTATTTCTCAAAAGGCTATTTTCCCTAATTCATCAGCCATCTCTTGTCATGTCGGTAGTGGCTGTTCTTTGGAGGATTTGGAAATCCCGTATTTGGGTTGTCTTTGTAGGAAAGCAATTTGGGTTCCCTGCCTTGATGCGCCAGTTTCACCAGCAGTGTGCAGAATGGGACCGATTGCCTGCAGAAAGGGCGACTACGGAGCTGAATCCTATTCTCCATTCTCCTGGGCTACCTCAGGTTTCCTCGCTGGTATGTATGTGGGATGGAGCTACGAGAGCTGGATCCCATTCGGCGGGTGGGATGGTTCTACTCGGCCCCCATAGGGAGATCCTCCTAGCTCAAGGGGTCCAGTATCGGGCTATTGATGATCCTCTGGTGGTGGAAACACTCGTCCTCCGGGAGGCTATCTCCTGGTGCGTGGCTAATGGGTTCCAGGATGTGACATTTGAGGGCGATGCCAATGTCATTATCGATAAGATCAATCAACCGGAGACCAGGGATAGTAGGGTTGGGATGATTTTGTCTGAAATTAGGCGATGTATTGAAAATCACCCTGTGTTTAGTTTGCGATTTGTAGGACGGAGTAACAATAGGGTAGCCCATGCGGTGGCTAGAAAGGCCCTTTCTTTGTACCCGTCTACGTGTCGTTCTTTTAATTTTCAGGCCTAGCTGTAGTCCAGGGTGTAACTCTTCCTATATTGAATCAATATATGATTATCTTTTGTAAAAAAAAAGCTCCTCCGATATCTCCAAAGCATCAGCTCAAGTTTCCAGCCCCTGAGTACTAACAATATGAAATGATTGAAGCACCTGCAATGAAATCTTGTAAGAATTAAACGAGATGCCACAAGCAAAAAAAAGAAATTATTTTGAAGTGGAATGAATTCGGTAAATTTATTCACATGCACATACTATGACAATGATCCTTCTACGAATTTTTTTATTCATTATGTTTCATTATGATTTCTCTAACTATGGCACACGCACACAATACATACGAAAAGGAAGGGCAAGATATGAATGAGTTTTTGGATGGGTGATTTGGCAACGAGATAATGTAGATCCAAATAACTAATTTTTTAATTGTGGTATTTGTGTGTTATTTGAGAAATGGAAAGTAAAATTATCTATTTGGATAAATAAATGTGATGGGTTATTTCATTTGATGAAAAATACCATATTTCCCTCACAAAAAGGATAAAATATGCTTTTTGTTTCTTTTGATTTATCCACAAGAACTTCTGGATTGCTGTCCACAAGAACCAGACCACCTTGCTTTCGACAGATGGTTCCAAGTACAATTAAATTGGATAAACAAGTAAATATTGCATTCTAATAATAAAGAGAACGGAGAGGGATCCAAATCCAATTAGCTCCACCGCCCAAGAGAGGGATTCAAATAGCTCAACTGCTGTAATGACCCAGAAATGCTAGTGACAGCTGGAGACAGTTAGCGGATAGTATAAATACCCAAAGGGAAAGTGTTTTAGCTATCTTGGAGAATAAGTCAAACTTTGGTTAGAATAGCTATTACTTTAACAATTCTTCTAGCATCTTCCCTGTAATTCTGCTTCTCTGTTTCGCTGGAATAAGAGATTACGATCCTCCGTCCTTACAAGTGGTATTCAGAGCCTTTCTTCCAACAACAATGGCGCCTGAACAAATGCACAATACTCTCCTCTCGGTTCTTGAGGAGCAGATGACTTTAGTGGATGCGCAAATGAGTTCCGTCGTCCCGTCGATCGCCGCTCTCCAGGACACTCAGACTCACTATTCTCAGTTGTTCGAGAAAATTGAAACTTCATTGCAAATGCTTCTCAATCGATCGCCTCGGCCTTCCTCTCCGCACGGCCATGCTGAATACAGCGATCGGAGTTTCGGTCATCATCAGCATCGCCGGTCTTCCGTCACTGATCATTATTCGCGGATTGATCTTCCTTTCTTCAACGGTTCCGATCCTCACTCTTGGCTCCGTAAATGTGCAAAGTACTTCCAGATCAATTCCATTTCTGATGCTGAGAAGGTGGAGGTGGCCTCCTTCTATTTGGAGGGACGCGCGAATGTCTGGTACGAAGGCTGCGCGTGCAATCGACAATTTTTGCCTTGGGATGTCTTCGTTGGGGATCTCCTTTTTTCGATTTGGCGATAAGGAACAGATGAACATCATCAGGGCTTTCAACAAACTTCAGCAAGAAGGTTCGGTGGCCGATTACCAGGAAGCCTTTGAGGATCTCCGAGATCGGATGTTGTGATTGAATCCAAGTCTCACTGTATCTTATTTCATCATGAGTTTCATTAGTGGCCTGGAGGACGAAATTCAGCCTCGGCTGCAGATGTTGCTGCCTCAGACCTTGTCGATTGCGTTTCACCAAGCTCGATTGGAGGAGATGTCGATTGCGGCACGCAAAAAGAAGATTAGGCCGACATCGAAGTGGATACCCCCAATCAATCTTTCTTGAAACAAGAGATTTTCAGTGGAGTCGTCTTCCTTACCTTCTGTTTCAATCGATCGGCCAGACAATCCTCGCAGTCAGGGTCTCTGTTTCAAGTGTGGTGACAAGTATTTCTACGGCCATGTGTGTGAGAAGAAGAAGCAGCGTCAAGTTCTTCAGGCGGACGAATCTCCGATGGACAGTGATGAGGAGATCGTCGATCTGGTTCAGCCTTCTGCTACCGCTGAAGAGGTTGAGGTGTTGATGCAGGCTCTTGGATCGGGAACGGTTGGCCGTGCTCTGCAGATTCCAGCGCGAGTAGGTCGACAGGAGGTGGTGGTTCTGGTTGACACCGGCAGTAGTCATACCTTTTTGAGTGAGTCACGAGCTTCCGAGTTGGGGTGTCGTCTCGACTCAGCGCCGCCGATGAAGGTGAAAGTGGAGAACGGGGCCGCGTTACTGAGTAACTCAGTGTGTCGAGGGTTTCGTTGGAGAATGCAGGGTACCGAGTTCGATTTTGACGTTCGTACATTGGATTTGCGGGCCCATGACTTGGTGTTGGGCCTTAACTGGTTGGATTCGGTCAACCCAATTCAATTGGACCTCAAGCAGCAACAGATGTTTTTCCTTTGGAAGGGCAAACAACCTACTTTG